GTATTCTCTCTGAAGCAGCAGCAGGACTTCAGAGACACACTAAATTTCCCCAAGCTGGAAACAGAACAGATGAGGAGTTGACTTACATACCCCAGGCAGCACAGTTTTCATTTTTTTGGTTAAAATTGGTCTTTGAACTACTTACATGGCAATGTCTGTTCAGTATTGGAGCTGGGAAATTGAACTTAAAATGATTATACACCAAAAAGCGTATAAGAAGAGAGGGTTGGAAAGAAACGTGTTTGGAAATCAAGAAGTGGGGAAGTTAGTATTGTCCTTGCAGCCTTACTGAGGTGTACTCGTGTGCACACCTTACTGTGGGCTGTAGCACGTGTTGGTACACCGCGTACAGGACCTTCCACATCCGGATCACAGGATGGAGCTGCTCAAGGAGTGAAGCAAGACTGCAGGGAAAAGGGCTGTAAAACAGCTGCTATGCCCATTGTAGAAACAGGAAAGTGCACAGTGGATGAGTCAGAAAAGATGAGCTCATGGTTACAGCAGATTAACGCTGCCCAAGATATTAATTTTTCTTTCCCTGCCTCTGCCGTAGAGCACCTCTGTGAAGTTAAGCAAGTCGCCTGGCATAAGTCTTTGCGTGTGCTAATGAGCTGTGCGCCTGATGTGATGCAGGCATCAGGTCTGCCCCAGCGCTGAGCGCTCACAGCTGCAAATGATGTCTGCATCAAAGGTGCTAAACACTCTCAAAAAGGTAGGCTAGTAATACTGGCTTAGTAGCGCCTTGTATCATTATCCAGTTTGAAAAAAAAAAAAACAACAATGTAGTAATGTGCATAGCTCCCTCTATATTCAGGATTGCCCCTAAGCATGTTTCATCCAGCTAATATCACAAACGTTAAGACCACAGAGCTTATGGATTAGAGCTTTCTAATGCCGCAAAAATATGAGTTTTAACTTTGAATGCACTGATATGAGCAGTATAGAGGAGCTGCTATAGCTGCCAGCTGTTTTATTTTGCCCAAATGACACATAGTGTCTTTCTAATCTGGCCTGGGACCAGCAGCAGAATGGAAACTACCCTTAAGGGTAGCCTTTAGTTCATTTTCTTCAGCTGTTTCCCAGCACCAGTAGCCTCTGTGCTGCTAGAAAAATGCATTCAGAAAATGTTACTATTGCAAGCCACTCAGATATAGGAAACGTTTGAATTATGACAGACTGTGCAACTGTAATACGGTCATGTTACCTATATGCTTGAATATAGTCTTTATTTAAATGGCACTTTGGGGGAAGGGGGAGAAGGGAGCTGCACAGTAGCAAGTTGCACTCAGACTTTCAAGCTGCAAGATCTGTAGTGTCTGTAGTGCTCGACTGGCAAACTCCTGCTTGATCCTATTTTTTCTTCCCAGATTCCCGTGATTCATACAAGCTGCGCTTCCAGCTCCACTGACTTCAACGGGCCTTAAGTCATATTGAATAAAAGTGGGTGTGTAAGACAGGTTTGCATAACCTGTGAGTCAAACTGGTTCTTTCTAGATATCTTTCTAGATGTCTATCTAGATATCTTTCTAGATAAAGAAAAATCATGCTTAAAGCTTTTTGATTATTTTTAACCTGAATCACAAAGAAAAGATTACGGCATCAGACATTGCTTTTCCTAGCGCTGCTTTCTCACGAGCCTTTTTTAAGACTGTGTGTTCTCTGGCTTTCCTGAATGCAGTCCTTCATATTTCCAAGACCAGTGAATCTTTAAAATCAGTGGTAAGTAGCAATCTTACCTTAAGGACAAGAACACAGAGGAAGGTACGAAAGCTGACTAACAACTCAGTTAAACAGACAGATTAGAGCTCAGGAGCTCACAGGGGCAGCGCCGCCGCTCGCTCCCTCCTTTAACCGAGTCGAAACGCGGATTACAGGGGGCTGGGAGGGGATAACAAAAAAAAAAAGAAAAGAAATAAGAAGGGGACAAAGTTACCTTGTTCTCCTCTCCAGTCTCTTTTGTTCTGTCCAGAGCTATAAAACCCAGTGCGATTTTTATCTTTTCATAAACTTTTATTGAATCTGATGTTGCGAGGGCCGCGGAGCACCATCCAATTAAACTTCTCCGTAATCCCACTCTTAACTCCGCCGTACCGATGGGAGATTAAGAACTAATAAAGATGACAAACGAGAGGAGATAAACGGGAGCTGAAAAGGAGGACGGAGGGCAGCAGGGCACAAAAAAGGGCTTTAATCGTGCAAGCCGTAACCCCAGTAACTCAAGAAATATGGCTTTCATATACTGCCAGGCAATCGGAGCCTTGTAAAGCTGGTATTAAATACTGCCCTGGCTTGCTCCGCATCCCCTGCAGCCGCGCGGCATGCGCCGGGTCCGTATTTCTCCGCCGGGCGGCCAGTAAGTTGTTTCGTAGCCAGGGG